AGACTCTCTCTCTCTCTCTCTCTCTCTCTCTCTCTCTCTCTCACACACACACACACTATATACTACTATAATACGAGTACGTATATATATATTATTACCTACCTCTCTCTCTCTCTCTCTCTCTCTCACACACACACACACATATAATCACTATAGAAACTGAGTTACATGAATGTAATTTATTACCCCTCTCTCTCTCACACAGTAACTATAGAAACTAAGTTATCTGGATGTAATTTATTACCCCTCTCTCTCTCACACAGTAACTATAGAAACTAAGTTATCTGGATGTAATTTATTACCCCTCTGTCTCTCTCTCTCTCAAGTCACTATAGAAACTGAGTTATCTGGTAGTTTACTACCCTTTCTCTCTCTCTCTCTCTCAAGTCACTATAGAAACTAAGTTACCTGGTAGTTTACTACTCTCTCTCTCTCTCTTTCTCACAAACACACACACACACAAGTTGTCAGAGAAAGTAAGCTACCTAGAGTAAGTATCATCTTCGACAAATGACAAACATACCAACTCTTCTCTCTCTCTCTCTCTCCTCTTTCTCTCTCTAAATGTGAAGTATCATCTTCGACAAATGACAAACACACCAACTCTTCTCTCTCTCTCTCCTCTTTCTCTCTCTAAATGTGAAGTGGGTTTGTGTATGTAAGTCACGCAAAGACTTCACATTTGGAGAGATAGAGAGAGACAAACCATCCTAGCAATGTTTGCTTCTGGTCTAAGCAAATACTTGCTTAGTATGCCACCCCCTCTCTCCCCTAATAATAAACATATGTACAAATGAATTATAGGCTCCAAACATAGCTATACTCCCAACCAGACAAACAGGTTTGACCATATACATACAAGCGAAATAGATCGATCCAAATTTCTGAAGAGAAAAAGAGGAAGAACTAAGAAATGTGGGTTTCCCTTCTTATTAATTCACCAAGAGATTTAGAAGAGAGAGAGAGAGACGAGGGGAGAGATGCATAAGATGAATGTGGCTTTGTCATTTCCATGGCAATATATATATAGAGAGAGAAAGAGAGAGAGAGAGGGGATAGAGAGAGAGAGAGAAAGAAAGAAGAAGAGAGAGAGAGAGAGAGAGAGAGAGAGAGAGAGAGAGGAAACAGACATGTGGGTTCATCAGCATTTAGAAATCAGAGAGAGAGGGAGGGAAACAAAAATTTGGGTTCTTCACTTCTTAGAGACAGAGAGATAGGAAAGAAAACTGTGATAGAGAGAGGAAGCAAAAATGTGGATTCATCACTATTTAGAGAGGAGATGAGGAATCAAAAAACAAGGTTTATCACTCTTTAAAGATGGAAAAAGAGGAAACAGAAATGTGGTCCATCACTACTCAGACGAACACAGAGAGAGAGAGAGAGAAAAATAAAAAATGGGGTTCATCACTATATAGAGAGAGGAATAAAAAATGGGGTTCATCACTATTTAGAGAGAGAGCAATCAAAAATGGGGTTCATCACTATTTAGACAGAGAGAGAGAGAGAGGAATCAAAAATGGTGTTCATCACTATTTAGAGAGAGAGAGGAATCAAAAATGGGGTTCATCACTATTTAGAGAGAGAAAAAGAACAAAAACGTGGGCTCTTCAACATTTTACCTTGCTACCTCGTCCCAAAGTGGTCCTTTGTGTGTTGCTTCTCTAAACTTAACATCCATCTGAGATCTCACCTCCAAAAGCCTCAGAGTCTCTTGCCTCGGCCACCTCCCACAACCACCGCCCCCTTCTTCTCCCTCCTCCCCTCCTCCCCCCATTATCACTCCACCACCAAAACCACCACCTCCACCTCCTCCATGATTCTTAGCAATGGAGCTGGGGGATGAGGGTCCACACATAGAGCTTGGAGACTCTGAGAAAACATTAGTATTACTGTTGTTGTTATTTGTAGTACCAGTGATCATTTGCTGGGCCTTCAGGACCACAGATTGGTTGTGGACGTCGCTGAGCTGATCACCTAATAACCCATAAAACTCAGAAGGGTTTATCAGTTTTTGGTGCTCCCTCTCATTGGAGAAACTTGATGACAGCAAGGCTTGGTACTGAAATCCATGGCTCCCGAGGATTTCAGGTGGGTTTTGGATGGCTGGAAAACGGGATCTGACGGCCAGGAATTGCTGGAGCTCTGGTTGGCCATACTGTTCACCGATCTCCATTATCAGGCCTCTTCAAGGTTTTCCTCAGAAGAAGAGAGAGAGAGATGTAGAGTAAGAAAGTGAGGAATGATATTTGGGAAATATTTAAAGGAGAGGCACGGGAGAATATACACCGCACGAGGCCCAAATCATCCCATACCTTTTTCCTCAAAGACGGATTTGCCCGGTGTAGAAAATCAAAATTCCCCTCTTATTAAAAAAATAATAATAATAAAAAAAAACAAATAAAGCTTTGGGCATTTTGAATGTGCTCATCATTACTAATTCATTGTTTCAATCAACTTTTTAAAATTAAGCCATATATGCTTATTGCATCACTTGATTAGGGATCTGGATTGGGTTTGAATTGATATGATCCAAAAACTATTTATAATATAAAATAAAAATAAATATAGGGGTATATCGATTGGGGCTTAAAAGGGACATAAATAAGCATTAGACTTAAGAAATGAAAAAAAAAACAAAAACTATAAGAGGGGGAGTTTTAAGGCGAACCAGATAGAGATCTATACCTTACCAAAATCGGTCGGGATAGAATTGTTTCCCTTTATGATCGACGATCCGGATTGGAAATCTTAGGGGTTTGAAAACACTGGATTCAATAAAGTTAGTCTTCATAATGATTTATATGTTGCCATGATAAAGTTATTTGATGAAAATTTACACATAGTTTTATCTATAAGTTTATCTTTTTAAAAACTTGTTTTCACTTTATTTTAACTAATTTATTGAAATCCTCAATCTTTTGTTTGAAATAGCTAAAAAAAAGTTAAATAATTAGATGTATTGTAAATAATATAAGGTACACGCATACAACTTACAAAATAATATTATCTCGATAGTCCATTCCAAACAAAATTAATTAGCATATTATAGAGCTTGACAATCTCTTGCTTTGTCTCCCTCTATAATTTAAAAAAAGTATATTAGGAAATCATTTGCCTTTGGTACAAAGAGATCATAATTATTCATACTTATTAGATTCGATAGAATATCACTGATAGGCCCAAAGTTTAAAAATGTTTTGAATTTTGTAACATATCCCAATCGGTCAAATTAACATACAATGGCTAGCAGATAATTGTGGTCTCTTTGTATCAAAAGGATTGTAGACTTGAAGCTATATAATGACATTCATCTATGTCTTTGAAGATCAATGGACGAGTTATATGTCTAAGTTTGATTTGAAAATTGACTTTGAGCCAAACTATGTCACAAGCTAGCATCACTTGTGCTCGTCAGTCAATCATTAACATTTGACATTGTTGTTTTCTTTTCTCAAAACTAACAATTAATTTTCTTTGAATACATATAAAGATGTTTGTGAAGAAGATTTCTGGGTAACCGAAGATGTTTTTAAATTAATACATGTAACATTGTTATTTGTTAACTTCTAAACATATAATAAAAATAGGCAAAGGTTTACATGAGGGTGCATCCTTATTTGTAAACTATTTATTTACCCAAAAAAAAAAAAATTGATGTTGTATTGATCTATACCATCTATTTTATTTTAATGGTATAAGTTTTGACGTTGTCTCAAAAGACATGTCACCTTTTTTACACTATCTTAGAAATTGTTCCTAATATATACCATCCAACTAAAATAGTGAGTTAAAACATCACAACCTTACTTCCAAAAATAAGATATTGCATTGTATAAATTGCACCCATAATAATACCTTATGATTAGACATCTCTAGATAATTTACAAACTAAATATTTGTGGGATGAAGTTTCTATAAGGCCTAGGCTTTATAAAAATAAAATAATGAATCGCTTCAAATCCTCATCCAAAAACCACTTACAATAACAGAAATCTCATTTATGGCTCTAAAATTAATTTCCAACACCGACAATAAAATTTGAAACTAAAAAATGGTACAGATCTTGCAGATCTATGAACACTTATTTTTGGGAAAAAATGGACGGTCTAGATAATTTGTTACAATACACACTATTTTAAGAGTTTGAAATCCTAATTTTTTTTCACAATCATAATGTTCAAGCCGAGATGATTGTCATAAAGGTTTTCCAATGTTTGGATTGCAATTTTTGATGAGTTATAAGATGAAGCTTTACTCAATTTTGGATGAATTATGAGATAAGGCTTTACTTGTTTTGATAGGACTGCAACCCTATCAAATAATTTTCCATATTTGTGAGAAGTATAAAGCTTGCCACCCTATAGTATCATTGTACACAATGGGCCATCAAGACTTCATGTTTGAGGACAGAGAGTCCAAGTTCGTCCTTATCTATTACGAGGAAAGGGACGATAATGTTGAGGCCTGAGTGAATAGATCTTGAATGGATCAAACACACAATCATGGAGTGAATAATATTTTAAAAAAAAAAAAAAACCAGGGGATTCAAAGGTGTTGTCTTGGACTTATAGTGGCCAAGGAAAAAGGTTTATACTATTCAATTTCTTTTACCTCAAAAATAGAAGAAACATATTGTCTCAAAATTCATAGGTCCGGATAGGGAATCGTCAATCTGGACTAAGTATTGGTGGAGACCGACCTTTATTTGTAGCGGGTATTGGGAATTGATTTGATTCTCATGGACTCTGGTTTCATCAACGAACCAGACATGTCTGTTGGGGAATTGAGGAATCTGGATCTCCCAAATCGCACGGTTCTTACTTCTCAATTTCTTTTATTTTTTATTTTTGACATTTTAAATTATTGTTTCTTAGGGTATTGATTTTCACTTTTGAAAATTAGTCTGATTCATCAATATGTACAGGATTTTTAGAAGGCATATTCGCCCAACCGATCTGGTTTTTAAAACACTGGTTTGTACATTACAGGTTCCACAAATCGACAATATGTCATTCATGAACGATGGATTAAGATGAGTCAATATTCTAATTCTAATTAAAACAATGGGCCACTACTTATGAGGATGGACAATAGATAGCTAGCCTATTTACTATACACACGACTCATTAAGTACAAGGAAAATTATAGATACCCCCAAATTGAACTTTATAGACATCTTTCATCTCAATACTTTTAGTATCACACCCCAAACCCAACTAATTCTTTTTTTTATGCTTATCCCCAGTCAAAAAACATGTTCTAATTCTAATTAAAACAATGGGCCACTACTGATGAGGACGGACATTAGAGAGATGGATTATTTACTATACACGTAACTCATTAAATATAGGGAAAATTATAGATATCCCTAAATTGAATTTTGTAGATATCGTCCATCTCAATACTTTTAGTATCACACTTTAGATCTAACCAATTTATTTTCTTGTACTTATCCCCAGTCAATAAATCTGAAACTAAAATATCATTCTCCTCTCTCATCCTCTACACCTACCCTCTCTCTCTTTCTTTCTCTACCCGCCTTCTCTCTCGATACTTGCCCTCTCTTTCACTCTCTTTACCCGTCCTTTTTTACTTTCTCTCTCTACATGTCCTCTTTTTATCCCTTTTTTTCTCTCTATCTGCCTTTTTTTTCTCTCTCTACCTGCCCTCTCTCTCTCTAGCCGCCCTCTCTCTCTCCTCCCCTCCCCCCCCCCCACAAATAATTCACAGTCCAAAACTTGTTGATCTCTGAGCTCTTAAGAGATGGGTTTTTTCATATGCAACATAAAACCTTGAGAAGTAAAAAGAGAAATATAGAGCGAGAGAAAGTGAGAGAGAGATCTGCACACAAATTGCATAAAATGTATAGATTTTTGTGGAGAGATAATTTGAAGAAACGTAGAGTTGCGTAGCAAAAATGGGTTTCTTATGAGAGAAAGAGAGAGGGAGAGAGAGAGAATACCAAAGAAAGAGAGGAGGGAAGCGGTGGTTTTCTGGTCAAAAAAGAGAGGAAAGTGGCGGGTTCTTTTTTTTAGATTATTTTTTAAGTAGAGAGAGAGGGAAGGTGGAGAGAGAGAGGATGGGTAGAGAGTGAAAGAATGGGTAAAGAGAGTGAGAGAGGAAAATTATATTTTAATAATTTTTTTTTTGATTTTTTGACTCAAAAGTATTATTTATACTTTTCTCTTAAGGATATACGCTCTTATTTATTATACATGTCACTTGTCAAGTACACACTCTTACACATGCCATGCATTTTTTAGGGTTTAAATATTAAAACATTTCTATAGATCTTTATAACTATGTATGAATTTAAAAATAATAAAAAATAATAAATATTAATTTTTATCATAATATAATAAAGAGTAATGATCTCATGAGATCCCTTCACACTTAAGTGTAAAGAACTTTAAAAAATTATTATTAAATTTGATACGTATCTCTAAAAAAATTATTATATATATATAAAATTTGATTTTTTAAAATATTTATATCAAATTTAATTGGGATTTTTTAAAATCCTACGCACATGAATATAAAAAAATCTTATAAAATTATTATTTTATATTTAATATATTATATTGTTATGACAACCAAATATATGCGAATTTAATATCTCCTATCTTCATTTCGGACAATCATACTGTGAGCCTTTGTGCGCAAATGCAGACCGTATTTGCCCCTTGTTTTGGGATTCACAACAAGTAAAGGGGTAATTTCGGAATATTTGGGCCAATCCCGTTCCTTTTAAGGAAAGTATACAAGGGCAATTTCGACCTCTCTTCTCAAATTTACGTGACAAAACGCATCTTTCATCTGTGCCATCGCCTGCCATCGTACGAACCTATCCAATCATATTCTGACGCGTGTACGTATCTTACACAGAAACCGTCCGATCTGCCAGGTCATTACGAAGTGACGCGCGTAACAGTGCCGAGGATTAATCCGTTTTGACCACACGCGATGGTGGCAGTGGGAGACAGCGGGGATGACGTCACGTTACACGTCACCTTACGATGACGTGGCAAATCATCGCCAAAATGATTAGTGGGGTGCGGTGGGGCCGTGCCCATGGCCCCGCCGACAGCGACCCTACGGTTATCATTATGCCCTGGAAAATGAGCTAAATATCAGAACTGTACTCAATGAGTGTTTTTTTTGTAGAGCAATGATTTCATAGAACCGTAATACTATTTTATGGTGATTTGTTTGATCAAAACTTTAAAA